TGCAGTCACACTCAGGCGCTTGGGCAGAAAGCATTTCTGTGTGTGTCGCATTCTGCGGTGGCGGCAGCCACGGGCAGGTACTCCGCTTGGAACTCCCTGGGCTTTGCTGTCGTTGCCGTTGCCGGGTGCCACAGAGCTGAATCTGATTCTCAGTGAGCCGATATGATAGATTAGAACAGCCCCGTAGGGCTGCCTCGGCTGTCATCTTTACAGAAGCATTCCCACCTGGTTTTTACACGCGTGGAGTGGCTGCTGATTTTGGCCTACCAGCCTCTCAGCTAGTAGCCGAGTAGATTCAAAGTGGAAGACTAAAATAGGCACCAGCTGAAAGGAGTTTTGAACTGGTGTGACTCTGATTTTCTTGGCTGTTAGCTAGCTGATGAATCAGGATGGAGGGATGGCTTGAGTCGCCCTGGCAATATGTGGAGTGTCACTGCTCAGAAGCCCCTGAGCCCCTCCCAACACAAAGAAGAACCCTCCCTTGCTGATCTTCTTCAAGTTCTTGTACAATCTTCCAGCGCAGTGAACTTCAGGTTGTCTTCCAGCATGGAGATGTTCGCCATATTGTTGTGGGGTCACCTTCACGGAGTGAGGTTGGCAAAAACATTCCGTAAGTGGGCTCTGATGACCGCCACAGCAGAGTAATGGGACCTGGTGAACTGCATGTGAGCATTTAAAGCCCCTAGCCCAAGGAGACACATTGTTTAGACTAAATCTCATCACCTACCATGTGTGCTCCGAAGGCAGTGTTGGAAATCTGCAGGTGAAGACCTCTCTCTTGATGACTGTGGTTCCTGCTCAGTCCTACTGAATGATGGGCAGTGTGGGCCATTAGCCAAACATGCTGGTCCCTGTTCTTAAATGTGAATGCTAATCTGTAGTCTCCTGAGCGCCGTTACTGAGACTCAGTGGTTTTGTAAATCGAGTGGTTTGCCTGCTCTGTGTGCCTCCTTCAGTGATATTACATCGATTGTGGTCAAGGAAAAACATTTATGATTTCTTTCTTCAGTTCTCTGTGCTTCCATTGCATCAGCAGGAAAAGGCTTGTTGATAGAGACAAGGTATGGCCCAGAGGAAATGGAAATTGATCTGGCTCCTGAAGGACTTGCAGAACTAAGCCTTTGTGTATCCTTCACTTGAACGTGAAAACCGGTAGAGTAAGACTGATTATGTGCTTAACAAACTGAAGAGCTGTTTCTGTTCCTTTGTGCCAATCTAGGTTACTACTGCAAATGCAGTGCCTTATTCATAGGGGCGTACTGTGAGATGAGCGTGAACCCGTGCTCCTCCAACCCCTGCCTCTATGGGGGCACGTGCCTTGTGGACAATGGAGACTTCATTTGCCAGTGCAGAGGATTGTATACGGGCCAGCGGTACGTGTGTTCTCTTTAACATCCACAGTTAGTGTGTCTTAAGTTTTTGAACCTGAAATGGTGCGTTTGGGGAGCTTCCATTTGTCTGTGTTAATGTTTTCTATATTTATCTGCAATACAGAAAAAACAAGTGCGCTTTTTTCGCCCGTCAGGTGTCAGCTTAGTCCCTATTGCAAAGACGAGCCCTGCAAAAACGGTGGGACGTGCTTCGACAGTTTGGATGGTGCTGTGTGTCAGTGCGATTCAGGCTTCCGGGGAGAAAGGTACGATGGCTTCGTTTTCAGGCTTTTGTTGGCCCCTTTCTGAATGGCCGGTGATGCGCGACTGCACAGACTCCCCTGGAACCTGCCCTCGGCGGCTTCAGACCCCAATGATCACACCGTACTTCCTCAAACATTGAGAAGGGGAATGGATTGTGTGTTTGAAAACACCTATTTTCACCCTTCCAGAGTACTTACACATGAGGCATGTGT